TACTAAGTATCGCTCTTTAAGTGAAGCTTATTTTATATGACAATGACGTCCATCTGAATTGTACATCCCTCTATATATTTTCACGAGAAAATCTTCAAATGGTGACAATTTTACTGATCGCGCACGGACACGGGTACACTGACGTCAAATATTATGACCAAACTCGCTACAAGCAAATCACGTGAATTGATTGCGAATGGTTGACGACAGGAAATTGAAATCATAAGTGGCGCTAAATTGAGCTAAAAATAACTTTCCTGTGAAGAGGTTGCCTAAGTAACAGCTGCTAAGACAGAAATAAACTACACATGTTTTTTTTGTTTTGTTTTTTTAAAAAAAAAACACAGTGTTGTTGCGTTTTTGTGTTACTGATGAGAAGGACGAACATCTGTTGTCACAGGTAGGGCAAGAGAGAAATGCAACGACGTGCATGCTGGGTATTACGGTCAAATTGTAATGAAGTCCCATGTGAGATACTTAGTGCGTTTTTCCTCGAGACACGTACTGATCCATTTTTGTTATCGCCGTACGACAAGTTCCCGGCATGACAATCAGTGCGGTCGCATATTATATTAAACAGTCAAAACTCGTCAAAGTATTTTCTTATCAATATATGATCTGACAAATTCAAGTTGAAACCGTCTTACGAACTCATGATGGAAGAACGCAGCTGCGACGTTTTTGATGTTAAATATCTCAAGAAAACTATACATATAATCATGATATTTTTAAACAATGCCACAGATTTCTATTCTATTTCTACTCTATTCGTATGTTTCGGCAATTTATATATATATTTGTCTACCTAACCTCAGTGATTTCATTGTGAACAGCACCTCTGTAGCTGGGGAGGAGGGAGCTATAATTTGTGAATCGTTGAACACATTCACGTTCCTCAGCCAAAGCAAAAATACGTTCGAAAGAAAGTTCGCTTTGAGAATCCCCCCCTCCTCACATGCACAAACAATTTCAAATCAAACTGATTTTCGTTTACAATCCGGAATTAGTTCAGAATGTATTACTATAGATTTGATTGTGATTGGTTGTCAAAATTGTGGTGAACTGAATAGAACATACTCCCCAATGTGACGTCATTGACATACAGCTGTTACACATTGCAATGGTACGAGTTTATTAACAAACAAACAAACATAAATAATTTACACAAAAATACTATTAAAGGCAATATGTACATAAATACGTATCTGTGCGAAACAGCTTATTACACAAGTACGGTCAAATGATCGTTATGATATTGTGTGGTTTGCCGCCCTTGGCGCCAAATTGTGTCGTGTAACCATGGCCACAACTGAAATGGTATTTCGTTAAACGTATACTTGAACCGAGAAGCATTCGTGCAGTGACCTCACGGCAAATTTGTGAATCAGGCTCGTCCAACAACGATTTCTTAAAATAAATACAGATTGATATATTCAAAACTTCCTTATAATCTGAACGTCGTCAGAGAACCTTAGCTAACAGAATGCATGATATGTAAAGGTCCTAGGTGAGAGCTGCCCCCATAAAAGAAATTGGCACGATTGTACTGAATAAATACAAAGAATACAATTATATTACGTCATCATCCCTTGTAACCGATGTGTTTAGCGGGCGCCGGCTCAATGATGTTGGGTGTAACTACATTAATCAATGCAATATGTTTGGGTACACAGCAACACAATTCAAAATGGCGACTTCCATGTTTACGATTACATTAACAATAATTACATTGGTTTAGTTACTAGTATATCCGCCAAACTGAGCATTTCGTCACACTTCGTCATCTAGCAGTGCCTCGACTATCTGTTGAGACCTGTTTGATTTGGTCCCGGTGAGTGATACCAAAACTATCATATCCATTACTCACGATTCACAAAACAGACCAATAACTTACTAATACAGTGACAAGATAGTGCCATAACAAATGTTTAAGTAAATAACAATACAAAATGGCGTGTTAACAGGATGTGATATCATTTCATCTTGTTACTTGACAGGAAGTGACGTCAACAACATGGCGTAGCATAGATAAATATTGCAACATCTGCTTTGTCGGAATGTTGTTGGCGGAATGACGTGCTTTTGGGATATTCCAGAAAATACAGTCTATTTAATGTAAAGCATTGACAGTACAAGCTATACTCCTGCGACAAAAGTTACTCCTCGGTGGAAGCAAATGACGACATAAATTGGTGAAATTCCTGTTGTCTTTCGTCACAACAAAACTCTATGATCTTTGGGAGGGGGCAGTACTCCTTACAGCAGGCTTCCTTAATTTGGTTCTTGACGATCTCCTCTTCGTATCCAGGTCCTTTGCCTGTTAAGTCTACGGGGGAAAAAGAGTGAGTTATGTTAAAGTTGCATTCCCACTTTGTAAATATTTAAAATAATATATATGGATTACTATGAGAAATATTTGAAGTTACAAAAGAAACGTTATTTTAGGTGGGCCACCTAAATTATTAGCCGAAGACCAACGAACAAACATTGGCGCGCTTTCCGGGCGGTCCATTCCAATACAAATCTGACCAATAGGGTGAAGGCAGTTCATCTCAAAACCCCGAATGCCACTAATAAATATTCAGACAATTTGCGTTCACCACTTTAATAAATGAACATTTGGGGGTGAACTATCAGGTGAATAATACTGCACAAAATATTTGGTAAATGTTTATGCCGTCTGGCAAGTCAAATACGCTATGTGAATAGTATTTAGAATAGAAAACAGCGTACAAATCAGCGTACAATGTCGAACTAGAAATAGTGTTCTAACATTCGATTGTGAAATAGTGGTCGCCGAAAATGACCGGATCGTCATTAATTAAAAATATCAAAAAAATATAATTTACCACACATGCTAACCATCTCGTTTTAAAATTAAAATTAAAAATTCAGAAAAAAGCTTACTCACAATTTACGAGAAAGTCGGTTATTAATCGCACGAGAACGTTCATTTTCTTGTCATGTACAATTATTGGAACATGGTAACAAGAACGAACGCAGTATACTGTTATGAAATTTTAGCTCGATATGATCCAAAAATATGTTCCCAAAAAACAATGTCATTTTGGTCACAATTAAAAATATTTCATAATTATAACAACATTTTACATATGTAATACCTCTTTACAAAATGGGGATATGACATTAATTCCCTTAAAATATCGGCTGGATAAATATATCAACATCCTTTGTACCTCACACTGACTGAAAGCTACGGCACACTTAACAAACATACCGAGCATCATCGGCAAATAGGCAGTGTATATATTCGAATTTCACTACACCAGATTCATGTTCGTGTCCAAATAGTTTCATTGGAGGTATACAAGTTAGTGTTGTACATTTAAAAAGCATTGACGGTAGCCTAGATCTCGGCAGAACGTGAAAACCGGGATTAAAATTTCCAACGGCAGCCTCGATGCTAGTGTCTCTAATGTTCGCCTCCGCCTCTTTGATTCCGTTGCTATGATACTTACCAAAGTTAACGTTATTTATTATGTCAGGGGGCGCATAGCAACCAGCGCATATCTGATCTACCAGTAACAGCTTTCTTTTACATCCTGTTAAAACGTCATCCACTGAGCCACTCGGTCGTCCATAGCAACCAGCAATAGACAAGAATGTCACCATGGCGATGAAAATAATCTGATGTGCATCCATGATTACTTCTGCAATAGAATTGTATAAAAACAAACAGGTCAATAGATATAATCGCATGGTGGCGCTGTGTCACATATATCAGCGTCTTCGGCGTTACCTCCACAATAAAAAACAAAAACAATGATAGGCTGAGATAACATTTCGCTTACAATTAGATAGTGAAAGTCACTCCATCATATAATTCGAATTATGAGATTACCCTTAAAGCTTTATTTGAATCTAAATATGTCATGGTCTGAAAAACTAAACTAAACGATTGATTACTAATTACTTTACTTATACTAATTGATTTGTATCTGGTCTGAATGTTGACGAGATATTATTGGTATAATTAGGACATATACAGTTATTGAATGAATTTGTAATTGGGTGACGTCACAATACGTCAGACAAAATATATTTAAATAAGTTCCTGTAGCCATAGATATCAACATTAATTGAGACGATCTCATTAGTTAATCACGTCAGTGAATCGCATTTACGGCGGCGCGCCTGTAATACTGTGTTCATTTCAAATGCCACCAAGTTGTCGGTTCCGTTATTAAACATATTTCGATTAGTGTTTGCTAGACGGAGACGGAAATTAGATCAGATCGACCAGCCGACTGCCGAGTGTTCTTTGTGACCGTCATATGATCGTTTCCGTGTGTGCGTTCCGTGTGTAAGCGGCAGTGTTGATTTGTCGAGGCGTCGTCAGCAATTCCCCCGTCTCCAAATGATTCCCCCGCCAGCTGTACTGTTCGTGTATTTGCCCGACACTATGTGGCATCCGTGACTCACATTAAATATATTGGTTTACGGATACAATATAGCGACAATACAACACTTACAATACTATACAATATCGGTATCGACGAAGATACACTATACAGAACGCGTTATAAATAAAGTGTGATGTTATTTGCATGTGTATTTTTTTTTTAATATCGAGGGAATAAACCCGACTACCTGAGTTTATTTCGAATTGTGGCGTCGCCAATTTGATAATGGGAATTGAAGCAAACGATACGCTACGCGTGAATACAGCTGCTGTCGCGCTTGGTTGTAATATACACTTGGCAATAACTATCTGTTCAGATTCAGTTGTACATTTCATACCATGAACATAATTAACGTCACAGTGGCTTCAATCTAAAATGACTTTCTTTTCTTTGACCACCAACTATATCAGCAATATTGAATAATGAATCCATAATGATGCCTGACTTCATTAGTTCATTGAACTCAATAGCAGCATTCGATATATTTTTTTTTTCGCTGGAAACACACTCAAATTCTCGTTACACCAACACGTCGATGACGTGACTACGTAAACAACCACGTGAGTAAAGCTTGTTCTAATTAATGGGAAACAGTCACGGTTTCCGCCCCTCTAACAAAGATTTGGATTTTTGAACTGATTGCAACTGAGATGGAAAAGTAAGGATTATACAAATTTATTAGGATTTTAAGTGTTGTTGTTATGGTTACAGCAGCGTTAGTGTTGCAAACTAGTTATAACACGCAATTCATAGTTCCGTAGTCAGTCGCGCACAAGCATCTTCGCCACTCACCTGTGTGACTGTTACATTGTACAAGAACATATAAAGCGCAGTAGTCATCGCGCAGCGCGTGTTCGAATTTCATGTAAATAAACAATGTATTTTACACGCGTTGTATACGTCGCTATGAGTCCCATATCGAACAGGACACAGCGCGCTTTAAATTCACGGCTCCACCATGTACAGTATATGCAACGGTTTTGTTTTACGCTGATGACATGTTACTATACAAAAAAATATGCACACAGCGTCTAACACATCTGCGACATTTGCCAGAAAACCCCAGTCATCATAAAATGATATAAAATCACAGCTTTTGTATTCTCGCGAGACTCGCAATCCTACGCGATTGAATGTATCTCCCGGGACTCACTATCTCGTTATTTTTTTTTAATATGACGTACATGAACCCTTCTTTCAAAGAAGTAAAGATCTGTGTGTAAATCACGGATTTTGCCGCCGGCTATAATCTATATAACATAAACTTTCACCTCGAACAAAAATAAACGAAGGACTGCCTTTCACCTACTTCCTGTTACATATATGAAGTTTCGGGTCAGGCAGTCACGTTGATGCTCAATGAGTGAAATTATTTGTTCTCATTTTGCGCGCGTGAAGTGTTTATAAGACTTCTTTTTTATCTTTTATTTACTGTAATTTGTTTTGTCTATAGTATTCAATAGAACAATCAGCAAATGCAAATGTGCATTTCAGGGCGCAATGTATTAAAGGGCGGTGGTCGTCGCGCAGCCCGTGTTCGAATTTCACGTAAAAAAAAACAAAGTATTTTACACGCGTTGTATACGTCGCTATAAGTTCCATATCGAACAGGACGCGGCGCGACGACTGCCGCCCTTTAAGTTATTTTATTAGCCGTGCATTTTTAACGCCAAGCTTTTCACACAAAAATGATAGTGCAATATTTTGCGCATTTTATGTATTTTTATGTAATTTATCTATTAATTTTGAATCAAATGAACATGATTATCCCTTAATAATAGATGTTAATCAACAATTTAAAAATTGAAAAAGATTTCAAACTCTCTTCATTGCAATACAGGGCCATTGAGTGAGTATTTCAATATCAAACATCGCAGTACTCTGAAAGTTTTAAAAGGAGGTCAATTCAACTACACTAATACTCTCAATATCAAAAAAATGTAGGCGCGTAGTAATTGGTTAACCATGACAACGTGACCACGTCTTGAAAGAGCCAGGTAACTGCAATATAATAATGCTGCGAAATCAACTTGCGTTTCACACCATATCGCTAAAAAGATTACAATCTTTAATCAATGTAACGCCGCTTCAAAATTCAAGCTCATTCGCATGATATGTTTGATAGTATTCGGGCGTTTATTTACTGGAGGTCAGTGACCCGGTTTGTGGTATGACGTCACTATTTCACTTAGAACGCGACATAGGAACGCGGCAATAAAGGGAAATGGTATAGAGGGCACCGGGGCCAGTAAATTGGACGTCGATTGCGTTGATTTGATGTGAAAGATAACACAGATTCTTCACCTATAGGCTCGATGATGATAAAATACTTGACACGTTGTAGGGTCCCAGTGACACATATTGTTTGCGTAGAATCAGCTGCACTTGTCTAGAGAGCACCTTACCCCAATACCCTCATAAATAGTGCTATGTCAGGTGACAGTTCCAGACTTGGTTTCCATGTCGATGTTGTCTCTCCTGAATCATTGCATGGTTTCATGCAGAATGCAAATAAGGCAAATAACGACGGTGCGATTGAAAGAGACAACACATATGAATTTGCCATCTTGCCCAAATTAAAGAAAACTGTTTCACAAAATAATTTTGCGTTTTTGTTTTGTTTTTATTTTCATTTTTTTTTTTTTGAAATATTGTGTTTTTTCATGAAGCTATAGATATGAGAAAAAAAATGATGCGCGCATTCAACTGACACGTACCATGAAAGGTTTTATTATCGGACCGTGTGACGAGGAGGGGGTAATTTAAACAAGCAGCCTATCGGCTGAGATAGCTCACTGTTAGAAATGCACATTTCATTAAGAACTG